ATTATATTACCGATTCCATCACAGTAATGTGGGAGGCAACTTCTCGAGTTGATGGAGCTGCAGGCAATTCGTTTACTGAAGCTCTTACAATCAACTGCACTGCTTTTGTTGGATGATAACGCGACAGAGGACATGAAAGAAAGGTTCCAGTAGTCAACGTCCCCACGAACAAGCGCTATCGGCGCGTGGCTTGACAAATTGCATTGAAAGTTTTACGGCGTGGCGTGGCGCAATAGTCGGCTGTTTGGGCGTCTCATAATTAGGGAGCGTCCTTTTCGCCTGTTTTTTCAGCGCGGCCTTCACAGAAGGAGTGCCGCAGCAGAATAAGGTAGCTAGCATCACGGCGTTTCAATTGGCGAGTCCTATGGCACAACGCTGTATATCAAGGTGGATATTACGTCATGGCCTGCATTTGCAAGTTATCCACTGGGATCAGCTGCGACACTCTTATTGAGGGAGGTAAATAAGCCTCACCGTAAATAAAAAATCAATTTTTCATATTATTTGGAAATTTTTATTAGCAAAATGCCAGTATATAAAGTCCATTTAAAGATCTTTATCCTCATGATATATCCTATCAATAATATCCTTGTATTTTAACCGTAATTGTGGACGCTTCGCTTTGAGCGTAGGAGTCAGCAGACCGTTTTCGACACTGAACGGTTCCACCTCGAGGTATATCCGCTTCACCTGCAATAACCACTCATTAGGTCCAAAACGAAAGGTCCAACAAAGTCCTTTAAATCGCAAAGCTTACCTGTTCTATTGAATTAAGCTTATTTTCTTTGCCGATGACATGTAATTGCGACAATACGTAATCACGTGCCTGCAAGGAACAATTTTATGGCTGATTGACAGATCTCCCATTACATTCATTGTTCGCAATGCGCCTCGAGAGGATGAAGGGGAATATACAGGGGGGGGGCCAAAAAAAGACATTTTGCCTATGTCGGACTTCGGCTCTTTTTTCTTCGCAGAGATTGCTGTCGTTGACGGGAGTTCCTCAGCAGAGTATTCCCTAAGTGTTCCTCTATTAGTGTACGCAGGCTCTCCTTCACTGCCCTCACCGTCTTCAGAATATGACGTCATCTGTCACCGTCGTCAGGCTCAAGGAGGTCTACCGTAAGAGCTTCAGCCTGAAGCTCTTACGCAATTTCGTGAATCGATTTAATGTTGGATAGTTTTCTAGAGGCATTAGCTACCACTGTGCAAATCCCCTCGGAACTAGCTTTCCAGTAAGGGTCGTTATGGTACACGATCCTTCGAAGACCCCATTGAGATCGACCAGTGCACCATGTTTCCCAGGGCTAATTCTTCTGATGCCGTCCACGTACGTGGCCACTATGAAGATTTTCTTATAGAATGGAATGCACTCTTTAATAATAAGTTGGAACCGTTCGGTCTGAGTTGAGTAAAATGTGCTTAAATCCATCTGGAAGTGGAGGCAAAATGTCTTTTTTTTGGCCCCCCTCTAAAGGGGGAAGGCATAGAAAGAACATTTTGTCTCCAGATCGAATGGGATTTATACACTTTGCTCAGCTCTCACTCTAGCCCATGAAATGACATGCGCTCTCAATTTCGAAGTGTGTATGGTGTGCCTCAACTTCGAATTGAGGTGTGAAGAGCGCGATTTCAGTTTTCATTAAAAAAATTCATAGCTTGGCCATCTACTAGTGGATGGGTATTCAGAAGTTGCCACGGAAATATGGTTGCGTTTGTCGAGCTCAATTGTGGGCAACAACAAGTCCGCGTGATGCCTGTACCGTTCGGGACGGGTTACGAGGGCGGTTCGGAGGGGTTTTGCATGTGGGCTGCTATGCATGACCCTAGGAAACTAGACCACGTTGAATCGATCCAAGAAATTATGTAAGAGCTTCAGGCTGAGGCAGTTACTGTAGGCCTCCCTGAGCTCGACGACGGTGACAGATGACGTCATATTCTGAAGACGGTGAGGGTAGTGAAGGAGGGCCTGCGTGTACTTATAGAGGGACATTTAGGGAATAAAGGGAAGGAAATGTCTTTCCCCCGTGTAGTGTGGTAAAGACCGAAGTATATGCCAAAAAGGCGAGCGAACTGGATAAATGAACACATCCACGCCGATGGCAGCCCATATGGACTGCCAGCTGATAATCGCTTGCCAGGCGCCAGGAATGTAAAGATAGGTGGATAAATCTCGTAATCGAGTTTAATGCTGGGTTTTGATCCCTTTACAGGGAAGCTGCTTTGTCTACTGTTATATGTTCAATTATCTTTACGCATTGGACACTTGCGAAATTATTTTGTGACATTCATGTTTTTGTTCATTTACAGTACAAAATCCGCGGATGTGAGGTTAGGCGGCGGCGCCCACAAAATCGCGTCCGTCCCACGCGATCGAAAGTGGAAAAGGGGCGCCGTCGTGGATGTGTTGAATGACTGGGTGAATGGACTCGACGTGCTGCTCTTCCCAGTCCTAGGCATATTCAGGCCATTTTTGTGAGTGTTGAGCAACTATAACGTCATGTGACAGACTGCCTTCCCCTCCATCCCTTTCCATTGCACCAATTTTTGGTTTAGTGATTCAAGTCACAGCGCTGGACGTCATCGCTTTCTGCATGTGAAAAGTTCGCTTCCGTTAAAAGCACGGGAATTTCGAAAAAAGTTGTTTTCTAATAGGCTATCCATTTTAAAACTGCAGTGTAGAAGGTGAGGTGCTTCAGAGATGTTTTGCTTCAATATTGCTGTTCATCATGGGGCGGAAGTAGTGTAGTGGCAAACAGAGTGAAAACCGGTCGAGGATTCGTCGACCACTCGCCGAGTTTCCCCTGTTCAGTTACGCTCTCCCGCGCAGACATTCACTCTCGCCATGCGCGAGCCGTCTGTGCTCTCCGCTAATGCATTCACTCTCGACACTATTCTCACACAGTACAGAGTCAGGGATTTCCTCGACCTTGATTCACCCTGGTGACAAGTGGTCCTGCTTACCACACGCTCGATACGGGAGCCACTGTGAGTCTCAAACCGTTCGCGCCAACTAAGCTCCTCATCCTTCAGAGTTCGGTACAACAGTTGTCTGGTAGGACAGGAATACTGGCTTGTAAACAGCTTGTTCCGCAAGTCCGCACCGAATCGCGTTCAAATTTCTGCCACAATTCTGAATGGGACTAGAGGGTGGGGATCCCAAAAGGAATTGATAAACGTCGAGAGTTCCATTTCATTTTATCCTTTAGGATGGCGACGGTTATCGGATTGCACACATGGGACGAGCTCACTGTGCTTGATGAAATCTCTGATCGTGACGTAACTTTGATTAAAGGAGGATTCCACGATAAGAGGAAGGTCGAAGAAGGGAAACTTACCTAGTGGAGAGACAGGCGGACCTCCTAAGGGTGCGGACCGACACGCAATTCGCATCGAAGGATATGCCCCGGGCGATCTAGCATGGCCTTCCCGCGGCGCAATTGGCGCGCTATTGGCCCGGTACGCCCTCCTCTCGCGTCGTCTCGTGTCTGAGTCTCTAGCCGTTCAGCAGAGAGAGAGAGAGCGTTAGCGTTGAAGAGGGCAGCACCGATGAGAGTCGCATCAATGCGCAAATCAACGGGCAAGGAAGGGGTCCATTTCTCGGTTCTGGGCCATTTTTCTCGTTTTTTCTTCTTTAGTGCATTACTGACCATCTCTAACTAATTTGAATGGGTTGCCTTTTCCATCGAAAAATCTTCCTTTAACTGGCGGTCATTCCGTACCATCAGTTGCATTATCAAGCGCGCTAACCACATCAAATTTTTCCTGGGACATCCCTTATGATTAGCGTCAAATCAACTTGGCATACCCTTTTATCAGAACATATTTCTCTCAAATGTTCGACTTACGTAACTCCCACATGCTCAGCATTCCAATCTTCAATAACTTGTTGGCTCGGAACTCAAAGGCTCAAAATATGCGAACAATACTTTTGCTCACGATTACAGACTGATGTACGGTAACCTACCGTTCTAAGCTGTTACCGTCCACGTATATTTGCTGGAGAACGGGGCTTCGAATGTAAACGTTTTCGATCTTTTCAGGTGCGACGTATTCGCCCTAGGATGGTAGAATTATTATGCATCGAAATTATAATTATAATTACTATACTTATTAATCAACATAATTAGAAGCTCTCCAAATTCAAGTAGGCTCAACAGATAACGCATCCTACCAAAATACTTGACTCTTGAAATGTGGATATTACTGCCATGCTTGAAATATGCTTTTTCGGTGATATGGAAATAGTGCCGTTGGGTAACATTTCTCCGATTTCGCCCGTATGTAGGAATCCCTGTCGTCGAAGAGTTCCGCCGTTTTTTCGGGATCCTTGTAGTAACCCTGCGTAACGTTTGGTCCACGGACCATGATCTAAACGTCGTAGCCATGGTTACATACAGCACTGCGGGTAAAAATCTATTGAGCTCTGGGAAATGGGCTGAGGTTGTATGGTGCGTAGCGCGCACGGAAACACGACTTACTTCTCCTTTCCCATCTTTAGCGTAGTAGTTGAGTTCTGGTACATCTATCAGCTTGAGATTACAACAGGGCGCTACACCACCACAGTGACCTCCCTGCCAATCGCCAGGCCATGTCATGGTCGCCATCGCTGTGCATTCGGTTTGACCGTAACCTGAAAACAGTAGCAAAATTTTTTATGCAGAAATCTCCATAAAAGAGCGCTTCCAAAAAAATTTGTGAAAGGGTGAGAACTTAAAGGCAAAAGTCGGGCTCAATAAGGGGGTATTATGGCGATTGAAACTGAGTATAGAGATGCGAAGTGGAACGACAGTGGAGAAAAAACTGAGAAAAACCGTCGACAAGGCCGTTAGGCCGATGTCAGACTTTGTGAAGCGAATTCCATACGCTGCAGCGAATCCGCGATCGCGAAGTTCTGACAGCGGCCTTAAACAGAAACATCTCTGTTTCGCCACAGTAAGTGATTCCGTGATCGTAGGAAAATCGCAAGAATAAACTGCAGCGAAGAGACTGCTAACCTTCTACAATCGTGACACCCATTGCGATGCGACATGTCTCGAGAACTTCAGCTGAAATAGGTGCTGAACCGGTGACCATTGTATTGACTCGACCGCCGATCGTTGCCTGAAAAGCTGCTATCACTTCTACTCGATAAACATGCCGAAAGATGTTCCGAATTACAGACCGCAGGAATGTCTACAGAGCGTGCCGCTGGCACGCCCACTCGTCTATGATTGGCTGGCTCACGCACCAATCATTTCGTGTGCAGCCAATCACAGACGGGTGGGCGTGTCGGCGGCATAGAATGTCGACGCTCCTGTAATCTGTAACTTTAAAGGCAAGGTTCGGGATCTCTGATCGAAATAATCTCGTCCAGAAAGATTTTGAGACTTCTAAAGGGTTTAATGACTCTAAGGTACAAAAGTAGACAGTGATTAGTGTGAGAAAAGCGAAACCAACTATTTCATCTTTTTCTGGACATATTCCTTTTATATTACGTACGTACATTCATTCAATTTTCATATTAAAAATTACCAGTTCAGCGTTCAGCACTTCCGGTAGAGGCTTACCAACAACAAAAAGCCATCTGTTGATGTTTGCCGAGATATTTCGGTGGGAATAAGACCTTTATAGAGGAACCTCTATTGATCTATCTCTCAGCTACAGTACGAATGTTGTGTTAAAGTTCTGTGTTCTGTCTTGAGAGCAGCAAGGCTCGCTATCAGGCTGTAGATCTGCGGATTCCTAACCTTCCAGCGTCCGTTGACAGTATATAAGCTCCGCAGATAACACTCGGCATGTTTCTCCACTCGCCTTTTTCTCACCGTCGTAGCTCGGTGCTCCTCTCTCCATTTTAAGCTATTTTTGCAATGAGTTAGGAAATAAATCGATTCAAGAGAATATTTTACCGCTGGCAATAAATGCAGTTATGCGTTAGCGGGGCATGTGCACAACTTCGAGAATAACTTAAAAAGGGTGAGGCGTTGAGGCCTAACCATAAGAGTTCAGCATTGACCCCTTCTCGTTGAACGTCCCTTGGGATCAACGCTAGATTGGTTCGTAAGCTAATAGTAAACTTCAGCTGATTATCGCCTTTGTCACGGATTACCCGTCGTTGTCGATCAATTCAAATGTAGAGGCTAGGGATAGCGAGTGTTAGGGGTTAGGGATTCATGTCTGACCCTCTGAAGAAACCGCCAGAGTTCGGCGTCTGCGAGGGTTCGAAACCATGCCCTGCAAAAATTGCAAAAATGGTTCTAGTACCCAGCGTCAGGCCCAGGTTGACAGGCCGGCTGATGAATACCCCAGTCACACCAACCATGTCTAAAAGTTGTCAAAGAATCAGTGATAAAGCTAGGACGTCACCCGGAAGTGGCGCGCAGAACCCCCGCCGCCGAGTTCTGTGGTCAGTATGCGAGGAACAAGAAGAAGGAATGGGTTTGTACGCTGCGAACTAATTGAAGTACTGTTATTTTACCAGATTCCAGATTCCTTCAGAAAGTCCAGAAAATCCGTTGACGTACCTGAACTTTGTTGAACACCAATTTGTCCCAGATGCTGTCCCTCGTGTGATACCTTTCTTCAAAAGGGCAAGTTTCTTTGAATACGCGAGATTGTAAACCAATCGTTTAAGGAGACCACCGTTTCGAACCTTGCTCTGGAAAAGCATTCATTCCAAAGGTTTTTTATGCACAACAGAAGCCTCCCCTACTTCTAACTGACCGAACGCTACATTTGGCAGTACCTGTATGGCGTCGTAGAATCTGTTGAGTAACCGAGGAACCACGGGGAACGCTGTTGGTCGGAGTGCATTGATGTCGTCCAGTAGATGCTGAAATATTGGACAATTTCCTAGCCATCTTTCCAACAGACCTGTGCTGTGTATTTTTCACGTACCGGTATGCTTCCACTGAAATAACCGATGCTGGCTCCAAGCGTGAGATTCGCCCAATGGGCCACTTGTTCGAACATGTGGGAGAGTGGGAGATAGGAGATCACGACCTGAAGGTCAAAGGTTATACTATGGCATTGTTGGGTCGATACTCCGGAAGTGGATTTTGAAAAAAGTAAATAAACAACATTTCTCAAAGACAGCAGACCGTAAAATTTCCTGGATAAACTTGTTTTGTCTCATTTTTACGGAAAGAAAAAATATTTATTATTCAAATATTTGTTTGCCCCGGCTTGTTTGCTCAATAATGATTTTCTGCCTTTTCATTTTCAAAGGCGAAAAGTAAAGGAAACACGTTTAGCGCAATCCTACGATAGCGCTATTCAGGGCGCTATCGTAGGATACTGGGGACATTCCCCAGAACCGAGCCTAGGGGGGGGGGCAGGAACTTTGCGAGAAGCTCTCGCACCCTGAATTCTCTCCTCTCCCGCCCAAGGTTCAGTTTTGCTTTTAACAGGGAGGCTTCACATGGTTACGAATTCGTTGCCACTACAATGATCCCATGTCTTGCGATAGCCCCCGTTCAGCACTGAAGGTGGTCGGTGATCATTTTTCACTCATATTTTCAACAAATAAATATTCAATTCAAGTCTTTGAAATCGTCTTTCTAAGATTCGCGGTTTTCTTCCTTTACTTTTCTAGGTCCAAAATGATTATGAAAGGCTTCTAGAGGATCTAATAACTCTGAGGAAGGGGGACAGTGGTTCGTGTGGAAAAGGCAAAATTAACCATTACATCGATTCCTCCATCAATTTTTTACACATGTTCGTTTGATAGTATGTACATAATTCAATTTTTATTTTAATAAAATTTACCAGTTCAGAGGCAGCAAGCTTATCAAGAACAAAAAGCCATCCGCTGATGTTTGCCATGATATTTCGGTGCGTGATGATTACGCCTTTAGGTGTACCGGTGGTTCCAGAAGTGTAGCTAAATCACAATTTCCAGACTGATTCTGAATGAAAATTGAATGTTTCTTGGAAGATCAGCCAGCCTACCAAATGATATAAATGTCGTTTGTTTCTCCCCCCCCCCTGTCCCTCTGCCCCTGGCTCTTCCGTTCTCCAATGAGGGTAAATGCCTTGGTTTAGGATTCTGAGATCCACGCTCCATGGCCTCCTTCATGAAGGTTATCCTGATTCCTGCTGCCTTCATCTGAAATTGTTATAAGCTATGGTAAGTATACCATGAAAAGCTGAGTTGGGCGAAATGGTGCCCCGGTAGCGTAACTGGTAGCGCACTTGCCCGGAAAGCGAGAGGTGCGGGTTCTAGTCCCGCCTGGGGCGAAAGTTTTGTTCACAACCCAGCATTCTTGTGAAACATTCGCAAGGCGAACTGCGGCCAAAAACAGCAGTTAAGGAACAAAAACAAATTGAATGTTAGTTTATAGAGCATTAGAGAAAAAGTATGGCGAGTTTTGGCACTTGGCTTGCTTAATTTTGATTGTTTTTTGTAAAAATTGTTCTGCTGTAATCGGAGGGTTGGCGAACTTATGTATGTACTGGCCAGGAAAATTTGTTCAGGTCTGTCCAACCATTTGCAATGAGGTGTACACCCGCGCATTCGTCTTGAGACGATGAGCTAGAAACTGCTTTCTGTATCTGCTAAACGATGCTCCGATAGGGGTTACAGAAGTTTTCTCCTCTAAACTGTTGGGAAAATAGCGCCCAAACTTGCAAGGAGCTGCTCGCAAACTCCTCTTCATCGAGGCAACTAATGGCAAGTTCGATAAATTAAAAATTTGGAAGCTTTTCAGTCACACTGCCAAAAAAGCGAAAAAAAACAGAATCTCCGAGGATCTCCTAAGACCTCTTGCCTGCGAGACCAGGGCACTACCACTGCGCTTCCTTGCTTTATAACTATGTTCAGGGAATCGTTCAGCAGATGGGGAAAGCAGTTTTGAGCTCAGCGTCTCGAGGCGAGTGCAATGCCTATGGCTCTTTGCAAAGGACCAACCGGGTGACCTTCCCTGGTGAGTTAGTATTCGCATAGAAGCCGTCCACTTGCAGTGTTGGCTAACCATTGCCCTTCCCTCCGCATAATTCCACGGTCTCCGCCTTCTACCCAACCCCTCCCCCCTGATCATGGAGGCTGCCTAAGCCTTACAGCTATTTTTGACGTGTTCTCAGTCATCATGTAAATCATTATCTTCACCCGTTGTCATCCTCTATACAAATATAGTCATTTATTTACACCTCTACCTTTACTACTGTTTATTTGTGCTCAATCAATTACATTATACTATACCTGTGCTCTATTTGTCAACAACAACAATTAGCGATAAATTTCGCTTTCACTCCTTTGAAGCAATTTTTGTTGGATTTTTTATTAATTTGAATCCATTTATATAGACTATTCATTCATTTCTTTTTTATGAAAAATATTCTTTAGCTATTTCTCGGAATAAATCGTCGAAAGCTGATTTCTCAAAGATAAGCTTCTTACTGATGAATGAAGGTTTCCTTCATTTTCTATCTGTTTATCAGCTGTGAAAAGCCACCCTTTGACTGGGGGCGTGTTCGTTTCCAAAAATGAGCACGTTAGCACGATTTTGTCGTTCTTTGGCGTCGTTTCTATTTTTGTCAGAGAAAAACTTCCTCATGTTATTTTCATTTTTCAGTTGCCCAGAAGATAGGAGTGAAAAAGGCTTTCAGACCTCATTGATGAATTCTTCCGTAACGCCATCTTTGTCCATCATAACGATATCCCTCAAAGTTGGCATCAAGCTCTTCTTCGAGGCCAGATTGTGGGCTTTTTGTAGTGAGTCAACCACAATCACGCTAAACAGTATCAGTCATAAGAAGATCAGAGTACTGGCTGTTATTCGCCTCAAAAGTGCAAAGCACTCAAAGTCAGCAGTCACCTGATTTCCGCTTGTGATACAACGAACGACGCGGCTTCAGCACCAAGAGTGTCGTACAGTGGAACGATGATAATCGACTGTTGAACACAGCCGAGGGCGGTGATCAGCCATTCGGCACGGTTTTGAGCGTAGATACCGATTCGATCACCTGAACCAAGTCATTGGAATGATTTTAGTGGGATTGTCCCTTGATTCAGCTGGCTTCTGCGAGTCATTTGATAAGCCAACCCCATATTTGACCCTCTGTAAATGAATTCGAGTGCGTGGCTTATCCCAAGGTCACCGCCGACTACTTTATCCTTCACAACCTGTTGGGGGGTAATATAGCATTATGTTCTCCACTGCTAATCTTGGGCTAACCATAAGGTATAAGTTGCTTGAAGCGATCATCCGATTGCTGAAGAAGTGTAGTGGTAGGTAGCGTCGTTACTGCGCGCACGTCCTGGGTTCAAATGGCGGACCAAACACGGCTCAGACCATTCACTGGAGGCGGGTCAATTGAACCGTATGGGGGACGAGCCGATGTATGAGATCCAGACATCGTCCCTTAACTTATCACAGTTCTCGTACAAGATCGCGAGCCAGGACTGATCGCGTTCAAATTCCACAACAATTTTGAGTAGATGAAGATTGTGTGTCACACCAGCTACACTTGAAAGGAAAAGGGCGGAAGTGGTGTAGGAGGCAAGTAGCACGCTTACCACGCGAGCGGTACCGAGGATCAACCTGGAGTTGTGTTCGGCCCGGCCAAACAGGCTTCCACCCCTCAAAATGCGGGCAGTCGTTAGTATGTTTGGTACCGGCTTGTCTGGGAGGACAAAAACACCGGACTGCGTCACAGTCGGCTACCCCCTTGAAAGTCATGGTGAAGGCCCACCATCGCATCCAAAACGCTACTGGCGGACATATACAAATGTCAGGATGCGTATACGTTATCCAAAAGGACGATTCAACCGGTAAATGCTAGTGCTTTCTGATCTGCAAAAAGAGTGGTTAAGCTCTGCAAGCTTTATCTGTTTTTTTTTGTTTTTTTTTTTTTTTCTGGTTTTTACGAACATTTTCACGGAATACGAGAACCATTTATGCATTCTCCCATGTTGAACCGTGTCAGGGATAAAGCCACATAAATGTGATTTTTGTCTACAATCGACCCTTAATAGCCATAGAAGAAAAACAGAGTTTGATATCTTGACTGTCTTAGCGTATCAGTCCATACTCTAAGAAAAGCTCGTTGATTTCGCTCGCGTACTCTTTTCAGCTTCAGAGTTCTCCTATGCCGCAGAGACGAACATGCTTGCATCCTTCAGCACTTCGGAATATCTTTGGAAGCGATACTGACCATCGGAACCTCGTGTTCCCAAACATGGACCATCTCTGCTTTCCTGAAAATCGAGCACATGTACTCTCCTTTCGAAATACATACGAGGAAAGCGTCGGGTGCAGACCATACACCACAAGCTACGACAACCCTCAAGAAGATTTGGTCAGTGTGATGTTCATTAGTGCGTACTTGATTTTGATTAATAATGCGTAGCTTGCGTGCATTGAAGCTAGATAGATACAACTGCAAACAGGCAATCATTTCACTTTAGGAAAACACAGTTTTGTGGAAGTTCGTCGTCCGAGTTTTTTGTAATGCTGTCTGCACCGGACGCTCTTCATTTCGAATTTGTGAGGACTAAGCAAAAGCATACTAAGGACTACTCTTAAGGAGAGGTCAATCCTCAGGGACTTGGTCACCCCCCCCCGAATCATTAGATTCGAAAATAAACATATCGATTGAGAAAGAAGTGAAAGAAACGGAATGCATCCCCTATGAAGAAGTCGAATTTAAAAATGTTACCTTACCACCATTTATGTATTGGCGACTCCTCTACTCCCTCTACAAAAGATAACAATAAGAAGTAATTCGAATGCTAGTGAACCCTAGTCCACATGCAGCTCCGCGCGATTGCCGCGCAGTGATCTGCCGGTGGATCTCCTGACACCACACCTGTTTTTTAACACTGGTTTGAAAAAAGCTCTCGGTCATATGTAGTAATGCAGAAAGAAAATGGAGAGGCATATGTGAGAACATTTTCTGCCGCTTAGTTGTTTACAAGAAGTACATAGTTATGCTAAAAATCAATTAAGGATGTTTTTAAGGCCACACTGGAATGCGGCTGGCAGCACGTCTCTTAAAGGAGTCGACGCAAAAAATTGCTTACCATTTGGACTAAAGTAAGTGCTAATCCGCAGAGGTTCCTGCTACACTCCTTTCTGAAAAAAACAATGGGCAAAGTGCAAGGTCTACTACGGCTGAGACTTTGGTGCATCATAAAAATGATAAGCTCGTAAAATCATAAATGTCTTTTTTTCCTTGAAAATTTGCAAGAGAGAGCCAATTTTATTTCCTCACATGAGAATAATGTCAACGAAATGCGAATGTTAGAGATCTGATAGCTTCAAGGAAGTAGGACAACAAGGTAAACTAAGGGTAAAAAAGACCGAGGGAAAAATTGGGTCTATTCCAGTTAGGGGGGCATCATGATGCAGTTTTTCCAGAAAGCTAGGTAACTCCGAGCCAGGGGGAGTGTAGCCAGTCTAGGGGGTGGGGGTGAGGGCAGTCACTTGACATGCGTGAAAAGCTGGAATGTTCGAGTTCACACTAGTTCGCCGAGAAACTGCATCATGATGCCCCCCCCTAACTGGAATAGACCCGAAAATTCTCCATATAAAGCCAAATGCTCACCTTTAGCCCTTTGCAGAATAAGTCATATAAGGTGTTTAGGCCTGGGTACATGTTCTCGATAACCAGCTGATCATCCGACGGGAGCAGTCCGCTTTTGTAGACACCAGGTTCATCCTAAGATAGATTGAATAAAAACTGAAAAAATAAAAATGGAAATAAAAAATGTATGGAAAATGAAAAAATCTTTTCTTTTCCAAATTAGTTACCCTTCGATGCTTTGGGAACCCCTCCTATGAACCAAAATTCCAGAAATTTCAGAGGATCTTTTGAACAGAACC